TGTAAGTTGAGGTTTCTCATGAGCATAATCAAGTTTTCTCAAATTCCCATTCATCTCAGTGTTAGCCACAAATTGTTTGCGATCCACAAAGTCAGTCAAATGCCTTTGCATAGTTTATAAAGTGCACATAGACATCCTTCTGGTACTCTCTGCTTTCAGCCAAGAACCATGAACATTGGCATCCCTAATATCACAGCCTCTTTTAAATCTGGTTGGTTTGTATTTCTGGCAGTTCTCTGTCAATGTACTATTCTGATCATTTTTTTTTGCTTTTTATTGTTGTGGTTGTTGTTATTATCACATGCCAATGAGTTGACCACAACTCATAGTGACTCTATTCACAATAGCTCTGAACCCCACTCTATCCTGAGCCAATCTCACTGTCTTTAAGACAGCTACTTCATTACCCCAGTTATTGTGTCAATCCATCTCATCCAGGGTCCTCTTCTCCTGTGTTGTCCCTCGACCCTTCCAAGCATGATGTCCTTCTCCAGATACTGGCCCCTCCTGGTTACATGTCCAAAGTATGTGAAATGGAGTCTCAAAATCCTTGCCTCCAAGGAGCAGATTGGTTTCACTCTCTTCAGGACAGAACTGTTAGTTCCCTTGGCAGTCCATGGTATGTTCAATACTCTCCTCCAGCACTACAACTCAAAGGCACCAATTTTTCGACTACCATCTTGGTCATTGTCCAGCTCTCTGATGCATAACAAGTAATTGCGAAAATCATGGCCTGGATCAGATGCACTTAGTCTCTAGACTGACATCCTTGCTTTTCAGCACTCTGGAGAGGTCCATGACAACAGATTTTCCTAATACAATTCATCTTTTGATTTCCTGGCTGCTGCTGCCAAGAGTGTTGATTGTGGAACCAAGGAAGCTGAAATTTGTAACACCCTCAATCTCATTTCTGTCTATTATGATGCTGTCAGTGAGTCCAGTGGTAAGAATCTTCATTTTCTTGATGTTGAGCTTCAATACATCTTGGAAGCTACAGGCCTTGATCCTTTGCAGCAAATGCTTCAGATCATACTCAGTTTCAGTAAGTAAGGTTGTATAATCTGCAAAACAGTTTGCTTTAGTCTTCCTCCAATCCTGATGACACATTCCACCTGATATTATAGTCTAGCCTCTCAAATGATCTATTCTGCAAATAGGTTGAAAAGGTATGGATACAGGACCCATCTTTGACATGCTCCTTTCATAATTTTGAACCATGTTTCCTTGCTCTGTTATGATGACTGCCTCTTGGTCCAAGTATAGGTTTCACATGAGCACAATCAGGTGTTCTGGGATTCCTATTCTTCTCAAGGTTCACCACAATTTGTTGTGATCCAGGCAGTCAAATGCCTTTACACAGTCAATAAAACACAGATAACATTCCTCTGGTACTCTATGCTTTCAGCCAAGATCCATTTGAGTTTGGCAATGATGGTCTCTAGTACCATGGCCTCTTTCTAAACATGGCTTATATTTCTGGTTGTTCTGTTGATATTTTTCTAGTGTCTTTTGGATAATCTTCAGCAGAATTTTGCTTGCATATGATATCAGTGATATCATTTTGTAATTCCCACACTCTGTTGGATCACCTTGATTGGGAATGGGAATGTAATATTAAGCCTTGAATAATTTCCACATTCTGATAGATCCTCCTTTTTTTGGAAATGGGAATAAATATGTATCTCTTCCAGTCAATTGGCCAGATAGCTGTTTTCTAGATTTTTTTTTTTTTTGCACAAACTGGCAAGCATGTCCAAGCGTCTTGGCCTGCATCTGTTTGTTGAAATATATCAGTTGGTGTTCCATCAATTCCCGGGGCCTTATTTTTTTGCCAATAACTTCAGAACAGCTTTAATTTCTTCCTTTATTACCATTGGATTGTGATCATATGCTACTTTCTTAATTGAGTCTGTGTTAGCGAATTCTTTTTGGTACACTGATTTTGTGTATTCATCTTATTTTGAATCCAAAGGAGGGTCAGTGATGAGTCAGTCTCAATTCAATGGGCATCAATAAGTGATATAAACATTAAAAACCAAATGCAGAGTAAAATGACTGGAATAACATGCAGAACACATAGGAGATGTCCCACCTGTCTCCTGTGGGTAGGCAAGTAATATTTCTCTTTTCTCAGGCTGCAAATTTCTGGGCTGGAGGGCCACAATATCGCATGCTTGTTTGAAAATCATAGTGTGAAACAGTCATTGCTACCCAAGCTTCTGAAGGGATGGAGAGAAAGAGTGACTCTTCAGGGAAAGCCTTACAGGGGACACTGAAGAATGTCCAAGAACCAGGGTCTAACCAGATTAATGCCCCATTGGGAGGCATCTGGAGTCTGTGAACAGCTTTTGAGCTGCTTAAATGCCTTCATGGAGGTTAATATGCAGGATTGGAACATAAGGAAATACATAAAGCTAATAGATACAGATATGGTCAAAGTTTTATGTAGCCTATACAGAAGTCTGAACTCTGCCTAAGGTAAAAAAAAACAACAAAAACTCTAAGCTTTAGAATAGAAATTTGCTCATTGTCAGGATAAAATGGCATTGTGGAGGTGCATTTTTCAAGATTTTAAGTTCTTCCTGCCCTCATTGAGATTTCAAGATGATAAATTTCCAGCTCTTTGAATGTTCAGGCCAGTATGTACAGACAGTGACAGTTTTTCTTGATCCAAGACTGACCCCCCCTTGAACTAGAATGTGGAATTATTATGCATATTATTTGATAAAAGGTATTAACTTTTAATAAAGCAGATGTCATAAAAGTTTAAGTGCTTTTGTTACTGTGTTCCTGGGAGTCTTTCCAATGCTATATAGTCAACTCCAAAAATGAAATTGCCTTCTATGAAGTACAATGGTCAGAGAATTTTCAGAGGTGACCCTAAGAGGAGAAGATTATCAGAGGCTTTATCTACCCCAAGTAAATCTCATGAGAGTAAATTGCCCATCTTGCTCCTGTGAAGGAGCTGCTGGAAGACGTGAACCACAGACTTTGCGTTGATAGTACAATTCCTTACCATTAAGCCACCAGAGCTCACTGGTGCTTCGCTATCAAAATAGTAGTTGCTATGAACACTGGTGTACAAATCTCCACTTGTTCTTCAGTTCTCATTTTCTTGGGACATATTCCAAGCACTGGAGTAAATGGGTCATAGGGAATTTCTATGTTCAGCTTTTTGAGGAAGCACCAAACTGTCTTCCAGAGTGACTGTACCATTTTAAAATCCCACCAGCAATGCATAAGAATTCCTATCTCACTGCATCCTCTCAAACATTATTACTTGCTGTCTTGTTAAACTTTGCCACTGCTACTGGAGTGAGATGGTATCTCATTGTGGTTTTCACTTGCATCTCTCTTATTGCCAGTGATTTTGAACATTTCTTCATGTGCAATGTTCATAGTAGTGTTATTCACCATCACAAGAACATGGAAACAGCCCAGAGTTACAACTGCAATAGAATGGGTTGAGAAATTATGGTGTATTCACACAATAGAACACTATGCAGAACACAGAACAATGATTTTTTAAATTACTACCTAATTTGGGAGGGATTGGAAAACATTATGCTGAGTTAACTAATTCAGTTCCTTAAGGACAGATACTGTATAAAACCATTATTATAGAATGAGTATGAGGATCCAAGGGGAAGGGAGGGAGGAAGCAGAGGGATAAAGATGGCGGGCAGGGGCGAAGGGTTAATCACAGGGTTGTAAAATTCGAGGGGTAGGGTCGGGTGAAAGAAATGGGAAAGACACAGTGTGAAAAAAAATACATTCAAAACTTTGTAAATAAGCCAGTATAACAGGAAAAAAAAAATAGTTGCTGTCCTGAAATCTTTTCAGAAACTAAATTTAACTTACATCATCTTCGGCCTTTAATTTTCACTGTTAGGGAAGATTTTTTGACAAACACTTTTCAAGTATTTATTAAAGAAACATACTGAGTTTCAGCAAGTTTGCTTTCTCTGATCCTAATCCATCTTACTTCATTTCTCTTCACCTTTTTAAGATGTTAAACATAATCTCAGTAAATAAATAAACCACCGTATGGAAGTCATTATCTATGCCATAGGCATAGTGTGATAAAAATAATACAAAATGAGTGGCTTTAAAGACAGAGTAGTATTGTCTCATAATTCTGGAAACCAAAAATCTGAATTCAAGCCACAGGCAGGACCATGCTTTCTAATCACACTGGGGGAGGATCTGTTCTTGTCTCTCTCAGCCTCTGGTAAATCCAGCTCCTTGTCTTATTGATGCTAAGGATACAGTGGGTTCCTGTGTATCTTGTCCTCTTTTAAGGGACTCCAGCCACAGAGGTGTAGGACTCATCCGACTTGGCAATGACGCTTTTTGCCAAACAAGGTCACCGTTAAAGGTATCCTGGTTAGGACTTCAACATCTCTTATTATGGGTGATTCTAATCCCTAACAGCAGTTGTTGCCTCCTGCAGACTAATTAGGACTGAGGCTACACAAACAGCTGGAAAGAGGGACATCTGGTGACAGCGGCTACAGTTGAGTTGAGCTGCTAACCCAAACCACACGACTCCAGTGATTCAAATCCAACAAGGGCTCCTCAGAAGAATGAATGAAAGCCTCAGAAACTCGATAGATGGTTGCTATGAGTTGGAACCGGCTCAGCAGGAGTGAGTTTCTGTTGTTCTTTCTGTAGTTTGTATTTATGGATGGCTTAGTGGTAAGGAGTTATGTTGTCAAGCCAAAGGTCTGAGGTTCAAATCCACTAGCTGCTCTCTGGAGATAGATGGACAGTCTCCTCCGGTGTAATTTACTGCCTCTGAAAATACACTAGAGAGTCAATTATGGATCAGTTCTGATTCAATAGAACATAATAACAGGCAATAATGGCGTGTAGCGGGGCAGCAGGGAGCAGAGGTATCCAAGCTGGGATCTGGGTTTGAATCTCTAACTAAGCGCGTCTCACCTGGGTGGTTGTAGACGTAGCCTGTAACCTCTCTAAGTTTTTATTTCCTCATTCAGAAGCAGCCATCCCAGTCCTGTTGCTTCTCTGTGGGATGGTGGGAATGAGCAGATGCTTCTTAAGAGACTCATAAAGTACCTGGCAAAGCATCTGCTGAATAGCTGGCACCGAGAGCAGGTGCCAAGATCCAAGTGCTTGCTACGCTGGCTGCTGGCAGACCACTGATGTCCTGCCCAGGGCATGGCCGGCATGTGCTAAACTGTTCTCTGACCTTTCCTTACTGAACTACTCTCTTCCCTTCACCTCCAAATATTCTTCCTCTTCTTCTATAATAAAAAGACATCTTCACCATTTTTTCTTTCCATCAAGGAGATACAGCTATCAAATCTTCTGGCACGCTGCCTTGGATATTTTCATTCTTCTGGCAGAAATTGTTCCTTTTCCCACCACTGAATAAAAGAGCTTTCTTTACATTGCCTGGTTTTTTTATCATTTCATTTTACAGACTTTATAAAAAGTTCTTTGTTTCTAACGTACATCATAATGATTCTTTCATTCATTCTTGAACAAAGGTATATCCACACACACAGAGCAGGTGACTGGAGTTATATTTTCATGTTCTTTTCATCTAAAGACTCTTTTTCCTTTTAAACTTGTCTTATGCACTAACCACTACCCCCTACAGGTAACTGATGTTAGTAACTTGGTTCGTTTCCTTAGCCACTGTCGTTATCTTAACACACTTACACTCTACGCCTTTTCTGTGCCTGTATGATGGCATCTGTGATTATGCATATACACTGCTTTGGAGTCGTTCCAAAATTAGGTGAGTTCTAAACCTAGTTACTTCTGAGTTAGAAAAACCACAAAGGCACACACACAGAGGAAGCCAGGTAGCAAGGAATGCCAAGAATCACCAAGGAACGCCTGGGGCTGCGGACAAGAAATGATTCTCTCATAGTTGTGATGCATTTTGTTGGACTTCTCACTTCCAGAGCCAGGGGAAAATCAGTGGCAGTTCTTTAAAGTCAACCATTTGTGAAATGATAGCACTAGCAATCCAAGACATGTACATATGTTACTACCTACACATAGAGCAATTGCTAATTCTTCTTTCAGAGTCTATAACAGGCACTGGAAACTAATGTAAGGAGCTCTGGTGGAGCAGTCTGTAAAGGGCCAGGTGCTTAGCCAAAAGGTCAGTGGTTCAAATGCATGGAAGAAAGATGAGAATTTCCCTCATGTAAAGATTGAAGAAAGAAAGCTCTATGGTCGCTAGGAGTTGAATTGATTAGAGGGCAGAAGATTTTGTTTTCAGTTTGGACACTACAGCACTTGTTGTAAGGGCCCTGCTGGTATTGTCTGTTCACTGTTGGGCTGTTGATTGATTGAATAAACAGTAGTGAAAATCCACCAGTTGTTCCTTGGGGAGAAGATGGGCAAGCTCCTTCAGTTAAGATTTACAGTTTTGGAGCTGGCTCAATGGTAATAGGTTTGGTTTTGAGCACGACTTAACACTGCTGCTTTTGTTAGTTCTCCCTGAGTTAGCCCCTGACTCCTGGCGACCTCACATACAACAGAACAAAACCCTGCCTTATCCTGTATCATCTCCATGATTGGCACAGATTGAACCACTATGATCCAGAGGAGATTCACCAGCTGGTCGCATAAGTAGAGCCCCAAGCCTTTTCCCCTAGTCATTCTAAGTCTAGAAATCTGGTTAGCACACCCTCATGCAATCTTTGCAACAAGATTGTTGTTGTATTATTGCAAATGTTAATTTAATTTTATTCATTCTAAGTTGTTGTAGCATATATTAATTGCCAACTAATCAAGTAGATTATGACTCACAGCAACTCTTTGTACAACAGAAAGAATCTTGTTCGGTCCTCCACCAATTTCACACTGCCTAATGTGCATAAGCCAATTGTCTCAGTCTCTGCATTAGTACATCTCCTTGATGGGCTTCCTCTTCTTTGATACTCCTTTACTTTCTCAATAATAATGCCATTTCCCAAGAGGTGGTCCCACCCGATAGATAACATGCCCAAAGTATATAAGAATAAGGCCACTTATCCTTGTTTTTTAGGAACATTCTGGCTTCAATTTCCCCCAAGAAAATTTTTTTGCTCTTCTGACAATTCATGTCATAGCATTCTTGGCCTACCTCACAATTCAAAGGGATAAATTTTTCTTCAGTTTTCCCTCATTCACTGTCCAACTTTTTAATGCGCAGAAGTGAAAAGGATATGACTTGTATCGGGAACACCTTAGTCTTTACAGTGATTTCCTTACTCAGCATTTTCAAGCAGTCCTTTACCAAAATGCAATTGTTGTTGTTATTGTTATGTGCTGTTGAGTCATTTGCAACTCATAGCGACCCTATGTACAACAGCCCTAAACTCTGCTATGTCCTGTGCCAATTGCACTGTCTCTGACACTCCCATCCTGATTACCCCAGTCACTGAATCAATCCACCTCATAGAGGGCCTTCCCCTCCTGCGTTGTCCCTCCACCCTCCCACGCATGTTGTCCTTCTCCAAGGACCAGTCTCCTTACATCATGTCAAAAGTATGTTAGGTGAAGCCTCAGAATCCTTGCCTCCAAGGGGATACCCGGTATAACCCCTTCCAGGATTAATCTGTTTGTTTTCCTAGCAGTCCATGGTACCCTCAATACTCTTCTCCAGCACCACAGCTCAAAGGAATCAATTCTCCTTCTATCCTCCTTGGTCATTGTCCAACTCTCTGATGCATAACGAGTGATTGCAAAGACCATGGCCTGTATCAGATGCACCTTAGTCTCCAGAGAGACACCATTGCTCTTCAATACTTTGGAGAGGTCCCTAACAGCAGACTTTTCCATTCCAATATGTCTTTTAATTTCCTGGCTAGTGGTGCCAAGAGTGTTGACTGTGGAGCCAAGCAAACTAAAGCTGTGAACAATCTCAATCTCTTCACCATCCATCCTGATGCTGCCAATTGGCCCAGTGGTGAGAATCTTTGTCTTCTTGACATTGAGCCTCAATCCATATTGGAGGCTGCAGTCCTTGACCCTCTGCAGAAAGTGCTTCAGGTCCTTCTCAGTTTCAGCAAGCAAGGTTGTGTCATCTGCATAACGTAATTGTTCATAGATCTTCCACCAATCTTGACCCCACATTTCTCTTCATAGAGCCCAGCCTCCCGGATAATCTGTTCTGCATACAGGTTGAAAAGGTATAGAGATAGGATGCATCCCTGGCATACGCGCTTCCCAATTTTGAACCATGCAGTGTTCCCTTGCTTTGTTCTGACGACTGCCTCCTGGTCCAAGTATAGGTATCTCATTAGAATGATCAAGTGTTCTGGTATTTCCATTCTTCTCAGAGTCAGCCACAGTTTGTTATGATCCACACAGTCAAACACCTTTGCATAGTCAATGAAACACGGCTATACATTCTCTGGTATTCCCTGCCTTAAGCTAAGATCCATCTAACATCAGCTACAATATCCCTAGTACCATGATCCCTTCTAAACCCAGTCTGGACTTCTGGTAGTTCTCTGCTGATGAGCTATTCCAGTCGTTTTTGGGTAATCTTCAGTAGAATCTTGTTTGCATGTGAAATCAATGGGATTGTTCCATAGTTTCCACACTCTGTTGGGTCACCTTTCTTTGGGATATGAACAAATAAAGATCTCTTCCAGTCAGTTGGCCAAGTGGTTGTTCTCCAGATTTCTTGGCACAACTTGGTGAGCACGTCCATGGCAGCATCTGTTAGCTGAAATAAGTTAATTGGCATACCATCTATTCCTGGGGCCTTATTGTTTGCTATTTCCTTCAGAGGAGCCTGCACTTCTTCTGTCATCACCATAGGCTCTTGCTCATATGTTGTTTCATGAAATTCTTCTGTGTCTGCCAATTCCTTTCAATACAGTGACTCAGTGTGTTCTTTCCATCTTCTTTTAATACTTCCTGGATCATTTAATATTCTGCGGAAAGCATCCTTGATTATAGCGACTCGAGGTTTGAATTTGTTCTTCAGTTTCTTGAGCTTAAGAAATGCTGAGCGAGTTCAACCCTTCTGATTTTCTGACTCCAACTCCTTGCACATTTCATTGTAATATTTTACTTTGTCATCCCGTGCTGCCTTCTGAAATCTTCTATTCAACTCTTTAGTATCTTGAATTCTTCCTTGTGCTTTGGCTTCTCTCTGCTCCAAAATGTAATATGTTCTTTTATTTCTTAATTAGTTTTCCCATGACTGTAAAATCAAAACCTTTGTAAGTGGATATCATATTATGGAAATAGAGTTACAAAGAGGCTGTTGTTTTGTACCATCAAGTCAAAACTGACCCACAGCTGATTTTCACAAGCAGTAAATCACATGGAATGTGATTGCCCATATTTCTGTATGAAGCAGTTGGTGGATTTGAATTGCCTACCTTTATGATGGTAATGAAATTCCTTACCACTAAACCACCAGTGCTTCCTCAGATGCATAGCAGGTGCTGGTAGGTGACCACAAATACCGTGGCTTGGATCAAGTGCACCTCAATATTTAAGCCGACATCATGAATCTTTAGGACTTTGGAGAAATCCATTATAGCTGACTTCCCCAAAGCTGTGTATCTCCGGATCTCCTAAGTACTGGTACCAAGGGTGTTGATTGTGAATCCAAGTAAGATGAAATTGTTGACAATTACAATTTTTTCTCTGTCTATTATGATGTTGCCTGTTGGTCTAGTGGCTAGAATTTTGTTTCCTTGATATTAAGATGTAATCCATACTGAAAATTTCAGTTCTCAGTCTTCTGCATTAAGCACCTCAAGTCTTCCTTGCTTTCAGCAAGCAAGATTGTGTCATCAACATAACACAGGTTATTGATGAGTCTTTGTCCAATCCTGACGCCACATTTTTCATAAAATCCACTTTCTTAAATTATTTGTCAGCATACATATTTAATAGTTATGAAGAAAGGATATAATGGGTGTTTTTTGTGGTTTGTTTTTTTTGTTGTTGTTGGTTTTGTTTTTGTTTTTGTTTTTGTTTTTTTTTTTTTGCACACTCTTCTTAATTTTAAACCACGTAGTGTCCCTTGATCTGTTCAGACAAAAACTTCTTGGTGTAGGTCTAAGTACAGATTTTGTATAAGCATAATTAGGTGTTTTGGGATTTCCCTTCTTCTCAATGTTAGCTATACTGTGCTATTATCCACACAGTCAAATGCTTTTCCATAATCAATTTAG